ATATATGTATGTTTGTGAAACTCTAGTATGTAACCTCGATAAATTTTAATATTGTAGGTATTTTTGTGACTTGTGACTTTTCTACCGGTCAAAGTTGTATTGTATAGCTTGGTAATCAAACTATAAGTCAAGAAATACACATTTATTAAAAACCATTTAGAAGCAAAACATTATAAAAATTTGAAATTTATAGGTACTTACATATAGTTGAAATAAGTAGATTACATTATAAAATTAAATTACATTATAAAACTAAAACACACACGCACACGTCACTAAAGTTCATCTGTTTCATCTTGAAGATCAGGGTTTTCATCTGCAATATTTTCACATGTCAATATAGTCAATATAGAATAAAATTCGTGGAAAATAGGCGGTATCAAATTAATAATTGAAATTAGATCTCTCTTTTTCTCTTGTAGATATACGTAGTTGTGAATCATATCTGTGAGATACAGAGAGAGTTGAAAATTTTCCATGTCTAAAGTTGATCACATCAAAAGTATCATCAGTCAGGTTTTTCTTATATTTGATTTTCCTTGGCTCGTTAACATCATATTGCAACCACTTCACATCATGCCACTTGAATGCCAAACCATTTTCATTCTTTTTCTTCATAACTAGCTGGTCATTGAAGAGTTTGGAAAAGTCATAAAAGTTGTCTTGCTTCATTTAACACACCTCAAATTTGTTCTTTCTCCCCGTGGATCGAACAAGCTGAAACCAGTCATGTGGATGGTAAATTGGAATTTCACTTTTTTTCTTTTGTTTTTCTATTAGGGCGTGGTCTATGTCACACTCCATATGTGTGTGCACAGGAATTAAGAACTTATGGTTTATAATCTGTAAAGTGGTGAATACCTCTATACATTTCAAAAACATCGCCGACACATGAGAATTTTTGTTCTGACCACCACAGATATCGAAATAAAATGTTGCAAACTTTACTGAGGGTGATAGATGATTTTTTAAGAAGTGATATAGGCATGACGATATTTCATTTCCTCCGCGACGAGCTATATATTCATGCCACATGTAATGTTTGGATTTACCTGAAACTCCATCATGAATAGTGAGACTGTGTGTCCACAACTGCCTTTTATAAAACACAACAGAAGATCCAAGAAAAGGTGCTGGTAAACATTGCTGTAGGTCAAACATATAACATGCTTTTTCGTGACTTGTTTTTGATTCTTCTTTGTCGATTTTTTTCATATTATATGCCTTATCTGCACTGGAGTGATGCTCTTCGCGTTGAACTGTAAGGGCAGCTTTGTCAGGATCACTAAGTGCCGTCTTTATTTTCATGTTCAATAAATCGCATGTGTAGCATGTATCCTGTTTAGGTTTCTTAAATAATAAATGTAGTGATCGGAAAAGTTTTCTCATAAATTTTTCGACTAACTGGATTTTCCTTTTCTTGACAGTATAGGTCGTACATAATTTGTAGATTAAGATGAGATTGCAAGTATTTCTTGTCGTTAGTACGTCTAGTGTAATGACTTTCGTACGATGTAAATGAAAATATATGATTTTTAACACCTTCCATCTCTTCTGGCGTCTTTGTATGTGGTGGTGGATTGTGTCCTCTTGCGCCAGAGCTTGGAATGCCTGATACACTTGAGTTTTTTTTGCTTATAACAGTTCGTATAAATCTTGGTTTCTCATCTAGAGTTGCACAAAAACATGCTTTGCATACAGTAATTCTCCTTCCACTTATTTCAAAAAAATATTGATGTGTCACTTCACGTTTTTTGGGATTATCCAAATTTCTCAAACGAATAGTTTTTTTTTGGTGCACTATTCAAGAGAGCCGCAATGTAGGTAACTCTTCTATCATAAGAGCCTAAACTTCAGTATTCTTGGAAAAGTGAACTTTGAATTTCTGGACTCAATTTCAGATAACACTTATTTCGACATTCTTTCAAATCTAGCATTTTTTTTGCTTTTACTTTCTTGCCTTTTGCAGTTATAAATTCTTTACCGCTATGCAGACATTCTTTTCTATTTTTTCGCACTTTTCTAGCTAATGGTTTGATAATTCTTTCTGCATTGGAATGGATTGATGGAATTCTATCAGCATGAATATCATTGTTTTTTTGACTTGAGCTCTGGATGCAGTCATCCACTTTCATAAATGGCCTTTCTAATATACTGGGAAAACAGAGGCTCACTTTTATAGATGAATAAGCCTTAGCTGTTGGTATTCGGTGTGATTCTTCACTATCAGAATCTCCGTCAGGAACATAGCTTGTATCACTGTCACTAAATGCATCAAAAATATCCATTAATTCGGGATCAACAGAGGGAGCTACTGAAGAATGTACTGTATCCGATTCCTGATTTTGTGATGTATCAGGTAAATACCTCGATTGACTCGTCTTCCTCAACACCATGTCTATCAACTTTTTACCTCTGCTTCCCATAACTGCACTTATTTACTTACACACTGTTAACAGAGAACTTCGTAATGCTGTTGCCAATTCCCAAACTTTTTGAGGGTTATTAAAACAATTCCGTTCTCAGTACATTGCCACTGGCAATTAACTATTATTGGTTAGTTGTTTGACCTCCAACAATAAAACAAATCTAATTTCTTTATTACAATTTCTTTTATTATAGAAAAATTATTAAAAGCTTTAATTAATCATTTTTGTGTATCTAACTGCACAATACTTATACATAATTACACACCAAGCAGGGTGTGTCAAGCAACTAAGAATGAAATAAACGAAACCCAAGTTCCCGGAATTGTATTGCATTAGACAAGCATCGGAATGTCTTAACAATACTTGTTAAATCTTCTTGGAATACCTAATCCTTTTAAACCGAGTCAGTGACTCATGTCATTTGTACCGATTAAACTCAATGGCAATGAGCTAAACTTCATAAATTGAATGGTGCAAAAGTCATAAGTCAGACTTAATACTTTTTTATCAGCCTCTATTCAATAATTTCCCAGTTAGTACCTTTTAACCATTGCTCTAAAATTCTTATGAGAGTGCATTGGCTTATGTCTTTTATACCAATTGGTAGAAAAAAATATTGCGGTGTGTTTTGTATGTTATAAGCAATACAGTAATTTTGTGACTTGTGACCATTGTACCGTCAAAAGTATATTTTATAAACAAATTACGGTAATTTAGTTTATATCGTTAGGTTGCGCCAAATGTAGGCAACTAACTTAAAGTTTTTGTTAGCATTTAGAGCTGGAGTTTCTTGAGAATATATTTAATAAACGTTAAATATTTTCCATTTATTATTTTAATTCCAGTTTAATTTAATATTTTTTTAAAAGTGATGATAATAATGCTAAATAAGCAATTTTTCAAATGATATATAATTAAAAGAAGTACTTAATATTTTGTTATATAATCCTCATACTAAAGTATGTTAGATAAAAAATATAATATTCATATTATAATTCAAAAATATCATTCATCAAAAATATAATCCAATATCATCAATAATATAATTCAAAAATATCATAATATTCTATTATTCCTATTAGAAACTAGTTTTGGATGACTCAGGATTTTACCTTTTTTATCTAATATACTTTATTATGTGGATTATATAACACAATATTAAGTATGTTTTGAGATTAAATATCATTTGAAATATTGCTTATTCAGCATTATTATCATCATAATGGTTAAAAACTGGTTGGGGTTTTGAATAAATCTTGCAGTTTGATTACCTTGTAATTAACAGCATCCTTATCATCTAAAAATATTAACTTTTAAAGTACATTTATCATATTTATTTAAGAAAAATTTATCAACGCATTATCTGATAGAATAAATGGAAAACTTTGACTATCCCTAATAATAAAATTCAAAATAGAACTAATTAACTAAATAGAACTAACAATTAAACAAAAATAATAGAACAATAAAACTATATTAGCTAAAATAAACAACACAAATAATACAAATATTTACTACAATATGTTAAATTGTAACAACTCAAATATTATATTTTAAATATATGGGAAAATTTTTATGGGTTTAGTATACACTTCCACTATTTAGAATAATTCTTCTTTAAAAAAAAAAAAAAAAGAAGTCTGCAATAGTAGTATACTTGAGCTATTAATACTTAGAAGTAGGAATTGTTGTGTTGTAGGTTTCCGATAATGAATCTGTCAAAATATGCCCGAGCTAAGCAAGTAGAGTCTACCTAGCTAATCTTTTAAGGATTAAATATTGCAAGTTTTTGATTGTTTTTTCCAGTTATTTAAGAAAACTTCAATGGAAATATTGTAAGATGAAATAATGACAATTTCTCTTTTTATAAAATGAAACTAACTGGGAAAGATCACTTCTTAAGAGATAGCTATCAAACTGGGAACTGACCAATCCAACCATCTTCCATATTATCAATATGTCCCTGAGAGTATGTTTGAAAATGCATCAAGCTACATTGGGATCACACTGTGCTCACAGATAAAACAGTGGCACATAATAGACCAGAATTTTTATTAGTTCATAAAGTAACAAGACAAAGAACACTAATTGATGTGGTGATACCTAAAACAAATCAATAATCTGCATGTTAAATAAACTGAAAAGATCGCCAAATACAAAGATCTGGAAATTCAAATAAGAAGACAATTGAGAATGGAAAGTACTCAGACAATAACTATTATTCTCTATTCTATTGGAGTCATTCCACAGAACCTCCTAGAAAACATCAAAAAGCAAAATGAATGAAAATATCTACAAGACCATGCAGACAACTGTACTACTCTAATCAACAAGATATGTATGAAAATTTATGTGAGATACTCCAGCATACCAACTTAGCTAGGGCTCAATAACATAACAAGTGCATTTTGTTAACTTAATAATATTCAAACAAATTTATTTATTATTGCTTATTTAATGCAGTCATACTAGGTAACAATTTTTCAAGTGTGCAACTTGTACTTGCTAAAACAAGTTTTCTTTGCATTAAATAGCTGATAGTTCTTCTAATTATAAAAATAAAATGCTCACCTGAAATTCATCAAAACATATCAACCAGGACTTCTGTATAATTTTGTCAGCAACTGGTGGAATGGGATCAAAAGGTTTTGGTTTTCTTTGTGTATAATCAACTACTATTTCTTGTTTTAATTCATGCATTTTTCTATGAACTTCTACCATAAAGGCATTAAAATGAACTCTAGTTTTTTGTTCTATTGTACAACTATCAAAGAATAAATCCATTAACATTGTTTTACCACCTCCAACTGCTCCATAAATATATAATCCCTTTGGAGCTTCTTTTTTACCACCACCAAACCATTTACTAAAAATGTTGGCTCCAGTAGGTGGTTCATAGCCATTGATATTTTTATACAAATTTTGAAGTTGATATGCTATTCTCCTTTGTACTGGATCATTCTGTAGTTCTTTTGACTTTATTTTCTCTTCTAACAACTGAATAGGACCTTCCACTAAAACCTCATGATCTACTTTTAATGAATAATTGATCTTCTGAATTAAACTAGCTGCATATTTTTCGTTAACTAAAAGTGTGTTTTTTAATAAAGTTAATTTTAACATTTTTGTGAATCTGAAACAAAATAAAAAGGATGTGAACATATATACACATTTGCAAATTTTAATGCAACTTACTTTTTTCTGAATTTGAAACATTTCTAGTTAAGTACCCATTAAGCGATAAATTTTAATCGCACCTATTATCACATCATAACATAAAGTTATATAATTTTTGAAAATTCAGAAAATTATATATTTTATATATTGGCCTTGTCCTTGAGTAAACGTCAGTAGTCAGTGTCAGTAACCTCAAAATTTGTCAACAATACAATATGTATGTCAAACAATCTTCTTAGTTAGACACTTTTTGACTTTATACACATATAATAAACTCAGGCAGTCACAAAATTTCATAAAATAATTTCAAAAAATCTCAGAAAATACAAACCTCAACAGTTCAACACATTACTGATATGTAATCTACTCAGTAACATTTCATCTACTCGTGTATATTCACATCATGGACGTGATTCACATATAAGTATGCAACTTATTATACATACATTTATTCTACTAAGCGAAAAGGTTGTATAAAAAAATAGCAGTGATGATTATAATAAAGAAACCTTGTACCACAGCTTGTACACTGAATTTCAGTAAGTTTCAGAGATATGTAAGAGGTATGTTCACTGGTGGGTGTTGTATTGTAATTGTTTATATTTATGATTAATTATATTATATTTAACAATGTTAATATAATTGTATAGTATGTCTATGGTTGCCGTAAGTCAAATAAACCTGGTTAATTTTTCCATGCACACCACATAAACAACACTAATTTCTTTAAAATCCTCCTAAAACATGGCGGAACGTCTGCGCGGAGGAGATGCGCGTACTTAATTTTCCGTGGAGAGTGGGTATTCTGTTTGTTTATTATTCTGTGGTGTTGTTGTGGTTATCCCATCGAGCAATAAGACAAAAGAGGGAATCTAATCCTTATGAAAAGGAGACCAAAAAGTGGCCTCTGATGGCGGACATATCCGGAAATACGAATGCGCGAAATTTAAATTTTCCGACACTTATCACCAGTAGCTATATAATAATTTTCAGAATGTGTCTTAGACGAGAAAGTTTTAATTAATTATTAATGATAAGAGTCTAAAATGCGACACAATTGTTAAAAAACTTCAATATAAATAAGATTTCATGTGACATTTGGGACAAACAATAACATAACCCAACTAAATTTGATGTCAAACAAGGAGAGAGACTCTCTTTCCTTGTTTAATGTGGCCTCTAAAGATCGCACTTCCTGTCTAACAATATGTTTGCCCCCACTACCTTTACATTCCCTCTATTGTCTTTTTGCTCGATGGGTTATCCATAGATAGATAAAATTATATACCCGGTTCGCTATTCCCAGTCCGAACTGTCTAGTGATTTTAGTAATTATTTTTTTTCGAAGTTAGTAACTTTTTGACAGACTCGAAGTGGCTGGAAAATACTATACAACCAAGCATACGTGCTCTTAGTCAATATTAATGTAAACAAAAGTAAATAAAATAGAACTTTGCCGACAATCAATATTTATTTATTTACACCGTATAATGTATTGATAACAAATAATAAAATTATTTATTGTACAAAATAAAAAAGTGGGAATAAATTCTACAAAATTAAGAAGTCAAAGTCAGGTTAAATAAGAATAAGACACAGCAAGTTCCTTATGTATTTACAACATTTACATAATTCGATAAATACATTTTAATGATCAACTTACCTCAATTTCATTCGGGTTTTCATTCGGTAAAAAAAAATGGTAGGCATTTTGAATAAACCTTTGTGCAGTTTTATTACCTTGTAATCTAGGAACAGCATCCTTACTAATCTAAAAATATTAACTTAAAAAAAACTTTTTAAAAAACATTTTATCATATTTATTAAGAAAAACTTACCAACGCATTAGCTTATGGAACAAATGGAAAACTTTGACTATCCATAATAATAAAATTTAAAATATAACTAACTAATTAACTGAATAGAACTAACAAAAGAATTAAACAAAGATAATAAAACAATATTAAATTAAATAAACAACGCGAATAATACAAATATTTACTACAATATTTTAAATTGTAACAATTCAAATATTATATTTTAAATATACAGGGAAAATTTGATGGGTTTAGTATACACTTCCACTATTTAGAATAATTCTTCTTTTTTTCAAAGAAAGAGGTCTGCAATAGTAGTATACTTGAGCTATTTATACTGAGAAGTAGGAATTGTTGTGTTGTAGGTTTCCTACAATGAGTCTGTCAAAATATGCCCTAGCTAAGCGAATAGACTATACCTAGATTGGTAACAGGGATAGCCAAGGCCAAATCACGTACGGATTTAGCGCCCATTCGTTTGGTGGCGCTGCTAGTCTCGTTCCTACGCGGAGGAAGTGTGCTGTGGTCAAGTCAGTTGAGTTTAGAGAAATACGGCGCCATATTTGTATTTGTTTTATTTTTTATAATTTATTTTATAATTTAAAAAAATTTTATATCAAAAGAGTACAATTTTAGACGATTTTTTATTATGGACTCGAACACATTACATGGAATAACAATGTAGAGATGAAGAACTGAACAAAAAAGATGTGTTTCAGATTGCATGGATACTGGCAAACAATACAGTTTTTCAAGTCCAGGACATTATATGGATATGTTTGATAGATGGGTGAATATTGTTAAGAGCCCTAATTATAGAATGCTGCAACAGAAACTATTTATAACAATTTTCGTGTATGCGCTAGTCATTTTAAAGAGGAAGATATAATTAATGTTGGACATACCAGCAATTAGTGGGTATTACGAGAACAGCCATTCTGAGTTTGTTTTTACCAGCACCAGGTAAGAACTATTATGCCAATATATGTACACTTCATCTAATTTATATAACGGTGCACGTCATCGGCGTCATAGCCTGTGACGTCATATGATACCAACACGAAATATTTAGGGTTTAGGTGTGTTCTTTTTAGAATCACTTTACCGACTACACTGGCATTACAGCCACTAGGCATATTTTATTATATACGCGTAGAAATAATATTTAAAAATTTCTATTAATGTTAACTTAAAGAAATACACAATAATATGTTTCATTTAATTTGTATAAATCCATTATGAAGAGTTTTTATCAAGAACATTTGTTCGGAACACACTGTAACTGTAATCGAACGAAGGTAAAATTTTGGCATAAATTGGTAACACTTATTTGACAGTTGCGGTGTTGACACTTTTTGTACTTTATTATTTTAAATTTTAAAGTGAATACCTCTTGTTTTATATATTTACCTATTTAATAAAATCTGTTCTTTTTAGAACAAAATTAGTGTGTTTTATTTCAAAAATGTCACGTTAGAATTTAAATAGTCGTTGTAAAGAGATGGTAATACTTTTGCAATAATTATGTGACCTATTTGATTTAAAATGGAGTCAGGATTTTTTTATACTTTGGCAGCTATGTCAACTTCGATCTCTGACGTAGATAATGACGTAAGTCGTTATCTAAATTAGATGAAGTATACACTTCATCTAATTTATATAACGATGCACGTCATCGGCGTCATAGCCTGTGGCGTCACATGATACCAACACAAAATATTTAGGGTGTAGATGTGTTCTTTTTAGAACCACTTTACCGAGTACACTGACATTACAGCCACTAGACATATTTTATTATATACGCGTAGAAATCATATTTAAAAATTTCTATTAATGTTAACTTGAAGAAATACACAATAATATGTTTCATTTAATTTGTATAAATGCATTATAAAACGTTTTTATCAAGAACATATGTTCGGAACACACTGTAACTGTAATCGAACGAAGGTAAAATTTTGGCATAAATTGGTAACACTTATTTGACAGTTGCGGTGTTGACACTTTTTGTACTTCATTATTTTGAATTTTAAAGTGAATATCTCTTGTTTTATATTTTTAACTATCTAATAAAATCTGTTCTTTTTAGAACAAAATTAGTGTGTTTTATTTCAAAAATGTCACGTAAGAATTTAAATAGTCGTTGTAAAGAGATGGTAATATTTTTGCAATAATTATGTAATCTATTTGATTTAAAATGGAGTCAGGATTTTTTTATACTTTGGCAACTATGTCAACTTCGATCTCTGACGTAGATAATGACGTAAGTCGTTAACTAAATTAGATGAAGTATATGTATGTATGTGACCTTTTACTTATAAAATTAGTTAATTATAAATTTAACCTTAAATTATATATATTATAAAATCAGTCTTACTTAGCTTACTATTTGAATTATTTGTAGGTGGTGGTTCAACAACTACCTTAAAAATCATCACCTTAGAGAGGGTTCGACATAAATTTCTACAGGTGTGCGCCTTTCAAAGTTGGATTAGATTAGCAGACCATGACTACACTATCATATGGAGAGGTCTATGAGCTAATGAGCTTGCCTGTTAAGTGTGATGAGGGATCTGTCTCTCTCTTGTGAGTGAGATTGGTCTTAGAGTACCATATTACCATGGTTTCCAATTCCAACAGTAACTTAAACATCATAATTTGTAACCGCATATAATGTAAAGCAAATGTAAATTTATATCATTTAAAGGGTTTGGACCCATATATTTTGGTGGCTCATAGCATGTATACCTCGTTTTCACTGATGATGGATTTAATAATCCGAAAACGTTTTGCAATATCTTTGTGATAGCCCGTTTGGGCATTTTATTATATACCTACCTTTTATAAAGGATTTTAAATAATTTTTTTTAATGTTATTTTTCCATCTTTATAGTGCTGGATCTTAGAATCTTAGAGCTAACTGTTGGGTTTATAGGTTTAAATATGAGTAAAAATATTATGATATAAATGTATATAAACTTCTTTCTAGAACTAAATCACAAAATTTTTCTGTTTCGAACTTAGCAGAGTTCTTGAGTTCTGTCTTTCTGTGAGTAGAACCCCAGATAGTTAGAGTTCTTACTGACCGCTGGTAGTGTGTGTTATTGGATTAGGATGTAAGTGTGTAGGATGTAGGTTAAATCTTATTAGAATTTCACGTAATAATACAAAAAAAAACAAATCACTTAAACTAAACTATATTGAAGTCAAAAGGCACATGTAAAATATGTTGTAAACAATAAACTTAAAAATAGCGCAATGATGTTGTGTTGAGACTCGGGTGTGGACTGTGTCTCTCTTCTCCTCGTCACTACCGGCATCCCCTCTCGAGGGGTG